CTGCGCAGAATCAAGAAATTGGAGAAGGAGGTACAAAATGTCATGAATACAATTAATAATATCTCCGATTTCTTCGATCATCTAGACTGGAGAATGAAAGAACATTTTGATCACTCTAAACATTTAGAAGATAGTTTGATACGACGGATGAGGATGATGAAATTGATAGAAGAGGATTCCACCGAAGAATTTCCATACCGACCCTTCTACAACCTCTTCATTCATGTGCAATCAATGGGTGATCTTAGAGGAGAATCTAGTACTGAATCTGATGAATAGTAGATTTATATTACTACATATCCGTCTATTTATATAATTTGATTTGAAATTTGTATTTTCTTTGCTTTGGAATTATGCTTTTAGATCTCTGTATAGTTGAGACTAAGCATAAGATGTTTTGTTTTCAGCGTTTTGAGTGTTGTGGCTTGGATCGCGACGCTGAAGTAATCGATTAAGATTGAGAAAATACCAAACTTAGGGGTGTTATGTAAGGATTCTCGTACCACTTGGAAATTGTACCCCTTGGAATTTATATATATATGTGATGTTTTGTGTTGTGAAAGTTTATTTGTGATAAGTACATCATTTAGTCACTTAAAATTATGTCTATAATGATTGAACGAATGTCGTTAAGGCTTGAAATTGATCAAAATGAAAAAAATTCAAAAATTGAAACAAAATCAATAGAGCCCGCCGATGGAGTCCTTGACGCCGCCGACAGTGGACTTTTCCCGAGACTTAGGATTTAATTCCAATAGAGCGCGCCGACGGCGCCATCAACCCCGCTGACGGCGAGATCACGAAAAAACACCTTTAACCAAAATTTTGACCAGTCAATCGCCATTATTCATCATCTCCTTCCTCCTAAAAATGCAATTTTTGAACTAGGGCTTGAGAGATCTTGGATTTGGGGCGATTTCAAGGCTTTTTGACACCAGATTTAATCATCTCTAGGTAAGAGCTTCACTCCAAGTTAAAAATATTTGATTTTCACCATGGATTTCTTCCACATTGAGGAGATCCAAAAAATTTGAGAATGTGAAGAAAATATTGGGAAGAAATTCATGGAACTTAGTGTTAAACTCTTAGAATTACTTTTGGAAGCCATTATTTGCATATTTGAAGTATATTTCAGAAATTTTCTATAATTTGATTAGATTGAAATGACTCCACGTCAAAAGAAATGAATTGATTTCGACAACTCTCTTCATCAATGCAATGGCTCAATCAAGATTTACTTCAGTATTTAAAAGAAAGAAGTGTATACAAGATCGAGTTTTCGAGAGTTTGGGAGGAGAAATTGAACGAGTTATTGTGGAGCGGAGGTGGGAAAATTTTTGTTTCACCACCAATAATTTTTCCCCCACCAATAAAGCTGATGCAAATGTTGTGAAAGAATTCTACGCCAACGTAATCTATTATGAACATGAAATCGTTTAAGTGCGGGGATTTCCTGTTGAATTTAATGCCGCCCGCTTCAACACATTTTACGAAGTCCCAGACTCTTATAACTGCCACTATGAATCCTTTAGTATGATGGAAAGCCCCCTGAATGATGTGATCAACTTTCTCACTGATAAGAAAGGAACGTGGAAGATTAAACAACAAGAACGGGTAAATTTTTCTGCTTCCATGTTGAATGCCACCTCTAAGGCGTAACAAAATTTTATTTCTTCTACTCTGTTACCGAATTATCACCATGGTAAGGTAACTAGAGATAGAGCTATTTTGAATTTCTGTATTAAGAATAATAGA